GTGGAAATGGTTCTGTAATTTGGCATACTTAGCATATATATTCTCTGCTTGAAATTGTATCTATTTATCGTTGCAAGGCAAAGAAATTTTATTGTTTCAAGATAAAGTGAACGTTACCATGTCAAAATAAAATTTGTGGCAAAAGAGAGTTGCTAATGGAAAAGTGGACAAGTTCAGCTGGTAAAATTTATCCTGATACTCTGAAATGAATATCAGAGCATTTAGAGAATTTGCAAGTTGACTTGAAAAACTATTTTCCTGATTTAAACAAAAACATTGAATGGATAAGATATCCATTCGACATTAATACTACAGAAGGTTTTTTGCATGCAGAAGAAGCTCTTATTAGATAGAATTAGCTTCAGACGGATTCTTGAAAAATAAACTTAAGGAGTGTACTTTAACATAATTCTGGTTACAACTGCAACATGTGTATCCAGTTTTAACAGTGAAAGATCTGAAATACAGTTTGCCTTTCCCTAATTCATATCTGAAGTTGCTTTTTCAGTATTTGATATTAAGTCACAAAAAAGAAACAAGCTTTTGGATGTGGAACCGCATCTCAGATTAAAATTAACCACCAAAGCCTAATTATGATGATCTGTCGTCTCAACATAAACAACTTCATCCTAATCATTGATTATAATGTATATTATTTATAATTTACGTATTATTTATATTTTTTTATTAATACATTTCATTTCTTGATTATTATTGTTTAGTTTATGTACTAAAAATAAATATATTTTGATTTTTATTAAAGTATATGGATTTTTTTGACGAAGCCTTACGAAAATTGTAGAAGGAGTACACATATGTCAAAAGTTTAGGAAACACTGCAATAAACTATCAATATTCGTGTAACAACTTGAGCAATGAAAAATTTAATTCCTTAGTTGAATAAATTTTTAAACATTATAATTCAACTTTTTCGTATATTATAATGAGAAAATGCTTTACTTTTTTAAATATGATATATAAATTATATTTTATAATTCTAGTGGCAAATTTTGGTAAATTTATTCCCTATTCTAAAAATAAAGCATTTTAGTCAAATTTGACAAATAAAGTGTTTTACTTTACGCGAATAAACTAGTGTGGACGCACCTTTAAACTAATAACGGTTGTGCGGTTATACGCAAAGAAAACAAAATGCTCTAAAAATATTATTAATATAAATCTTGGAACCAATCGCGTTTTAATATTTTGTTTTTGTAGTGGTAAAATGGGTTCTTCGATGATAAAAAATGTTATTCCCCCAAGGACTGTGTTATTAGATTCATGTCGGAACATTCTTGCAAGGGTTCTAAATTAGATTTATCATGTCTAAAAACTACAACGCCAACATATAAATATTAAAAAGGTCCTTCGGCGCAAAAGCGATCGATGTCCTGATTTATTCTACAATCTCGGATAAAGCAAAATTGAATATTAAATTATTTTTCTTGCTGCAGACATTTACGTGATTAGTGATTAAATGTAGTCAGTTAAAAGAATTGCAAATTTACTAATAATTATACATTTCATTTTATGTACATCAATAATACTATTCGAAGCATCAATCTCTGGAGAGAGAGACTCTTGTCAGGTGTATTGAGTGTGCTTTTAAGACTTGTGACGAATCCCTTCCGTTTCAGCGAAGTGCTGCTATGAGATGTGGAATATAAATGGGAATCGGACGTCTATCCAAATACTATTCGAAACACGCGATGATGCTTAAATCTGATCGCCACTACTTATTTACTTCAATTTGAACGATCATCAATAAACGAGATATGTTCATTGATTCCGCACAATTAAAATTAATTGATGCGAATGCAATTAAAATATTACATTATTTTAAATCAAATTCAACCAGGTTGTAAATCAAATGCTTTCATTAAATGAACTTACTTTTAAATTACGCAGTATTTCTTCCTGTATATTAATAGAATCCACAGACTTTGAATTTCATTAGAAAACTAATGAACTTACCGGTAAATACATTTATTACTTATAAAAACTTATATTTATTATATCACACAAATATTTTTCATTTCGTTAAATATACCAAAAAAAAAAACATTTATTGGACTTTCTTTTCTGTGCAACTGATTAATGAAGCATTCAATTTGTCAACGATCAATCATTAAAATGATTTATTGTGCATTATATTCATATAGTCAAGTTTCTAATTGGATAATTTGCTGTGCCTTTGTAATGCTGAATAGATGTACGCGTTAAATGTATTAATATTTACGTAAGCACGTACGTTTGCATTCAAACTCGAATGAAAATGATGACTCACGCCAAAACACATATTAAAACACGCCGAATTTATTTATAGTTTTACGTCTTGTGTAATTATCATCCAACTAATTTGAATAAAAATAATAATTTACTTTACAGCAGTATTTTCTAACCCACAATAAACATACACATTTTATTTATATCTAATGAACTTACAGCGTAAATTCTGGCGGTAGAAGATTTCTTTATAAATGATTTTTTTCTTGGAATATTTTTTGTTATAAAATAATTAATATTAAATATTTCTTTATTTTGTATTTATTAATTAACATTATAAGATTTCACATAAATAATTTAGTCTGGCTTCAACCAGTCCGGATTCGCTACAGTTGAAAAACAAATGAATGTGTAATTACGCAAAATAAAGTCTCTTTTTGTGCGGTTAATTTTTCGTAAACGCAAATTAGATAATTCTGATACCAATTATATAATTTGCAAGATTTCCTTGCCATATGTATACTTAAATAGGATTTGTTTATAGCCTGTGAAATTACAATGAGCGTGAACTGAATTCGTTCTTCACGTTGTCCCAATTTGCTCGACCCAACTCAGCTTGTATCATTTGATAAATATGTTCTGACTTTCTGGAAGGCATTATCTCAATAGAATCCTCATTTGTGTCAACCTATAAATAAAACATTTTACATAAGAGCTGTATAAAAATAGTTAAAAGTATTCGACTTACCAGTAAAATCCAGTGAATTGAATTTAAATATTCCACCATAGTTGAAAATCCGAATTGTTTGAAGGGTATGTCAACACCGACCAATTCCAAAAAGTCTTGCACTAATCCAGTTATGGAAAAATCTGCCGAAGTAGAGTTCAATACTGAACGGATAATTCTTTCACATTCTTTCGGATACTAATAAACAAACAAAAAAATGCATAATAGTATTTACTTACAACATAATATTATACAAATCCGTAGTAATAACTTATGTAGCATTTGATAAGAAATACATGTTATTATTACCATTTTATTAGATGAATCAAAAGAAATATTTGTAGTGTGAAGTAGCCTGATGTTACTCTATGAATAGTTGTTTCAAAACTGTTATTTTTTCAGTGCTTAGAAATAGAAAATAATTTAATTTATTACCTTTCATACATTTGTATTAGATTCAATTTCTAGGTAAAAAATTATCGCTCAGGTAATTTTTTTTGTTAATTATAATTTAAACGATTAGCATTTTTTTTTAATATTTTATATATACGTACACAAGTAATAAATATAATTAATAAATAGAAAAAACAAAGCAATTTGGTTCTTGTATTTTTTTTATATATTTATTAAACTCACAAAAATGTGATATGTAAACAATCATACTCAATACTTCTCACAATTAGTCGCTATTTTATGTTATGTTAAATTCCTTATTACTGACTGAATACATTTTTAAAAATAGATTAAAATAAACAAAATACTTACTTACAAATTCAATGTAGACATCACAATTATTTAATAAAAAACGACAAAAGATATAAATGCAATAAAACAGATAGTACATCTTCCAAAAACATTATATTTTATTAAAGAAATTATCAATTTTTATTTGGACAGTTAATTTTTTATCACTATATATCTCCTTGTAACAAGTTAGAGTTTTTAGAATTTTGTTCGTAAGTCCAAGAGTTCGTACAGGGGATACCTGTACAGTGGAACCTCACTTAACGAGCATCTCACATAACGAGCATTTCGCTTAACGAGCAAAATAAATTGTAAAAAAATGACTCTCTTATATAGTCCATTAAAATTATGTGTGACCTATAACTTTTTGATAATTAAACTAGAATATGGTGCTCTAAATATAGTGAGTTTTGAACTAATATTTCGTAATTAGCGTTATGAAGGTAAAATATACGTTTCAAATTATATTTCTAACTATCACAGTATCATCACTTTATTAATCCATATGAAGATTTTCAATTTTGATAAATTAAATTTTCCTCTCATTTTATTTATAATAAACAGTAAAATTGATTTAAAACTGTCATTATTATATTAGAATGAACCAAATTTCGTATAAAAAATTAATATATTTTGTTTACATTTTTTTATTTTTATTATGGTGATATTATTCAAAAATATTCATTAAATTTAATTATAATTAAACATTTAAAAGTTTAGATTTTTCTTTTTATTGTAAAAATAACATTCTTTACAAAACATTTAAATTACCAACTGAATTATTATTGTATTTCGATGAAAAATCCATTATATACGTTAATCAATATAAAATAAATAAGAATTAATAAATAAGAAACTGATTTCGAATTATATAAAAGATTTATTATTTTCCTTGTGGTAAATCATCAAATAATATTTAACAAATAATAACGAAGAGAATAGACTGTTTTAAAATAATATAATATTGTATTAGACGTATTTAGAAAGCAGGTTCCAATAGTAGTTGAAAGTATGAATAAAACTATTCAGTTACAATTTACATATTATTATTATTTTTGTGAATTGAATAGTTTCAACTTTCGTAGTAATTTTAAAACAAATTTATTTATAACAGTAAATGATTCGAAATCCCACAATTTCGATTTACATAAAAGATTCGGAACCTGTTTTCCGGGCGAAATTACATTATACATAAGTAATAAATTTGCAAACTCTCGATAAATTTTATTTAAAACAGAATACTTAAAATTATATATTTCTTACAATGTATATAATTACAGTAGGTACAATATATAAATATGAAAACAGTTAAATTATATATAAAAAAGATATTTCTTTAGGATAACAGTTTCCTAATTAACTATTTACTATTTCAGATAATTGCATAGTAAAAAATAAAATAAAAATTGGAAAGTTCTTTATGCAATAGAAATGTACACTTCCTTATAATACAATGTACTCTCGCAACTGCGTTACAGTATCGGCATCAATTTGCTGCAGTAGTTGCTCATAGTGTGCTTGACCCAATTGATTTCTAAGGATATAAATCTAAAAAAAAAAAAGTTTAATGGGATGAGTTTTATGTACGGGATTAAAGATAAACTTACTTGTGATTGTAGGTAGTCCTTAAGAACTATAGTGTGAACGGGATCCACCACAATGAGCTGCTTCTTTCTTTGGTCGTGCTCGGTATCATAGTAACTATCAGAATCTTCGTGGAAGTGGCTGGGACTCTGACCTTCGGACAGCACCAAAGAGTCCATATTAATGCTACTTTCATCAGTCTTCATTACATCATTGAGAGCCTCCAGTATGTTCACCATGATACCGCGAAACCGTCTCAAAACCGATTGACTTTGAGTAGTCAGCAAATTCGTTAAGGCTAAACCTAGGAGTTTCCTGTGCTCTATCTGCGAGACGTTCGGCATCTTCTTCACCCACACATCGAGTATCTTACTCAGAATGTTCTCCTCGTTGTCGTAGTTCCGATGCGCCAAATCCCTTAAGGTTTGTGTGAAGACTTCGTGGGTGGCCAGTAAAACCCTACTTACTACACACAAATACATTGAGAGCACTGTCGGCAGTTCGTCAGTTTGATAGATGTTTCTAAAACAAAGCAATATATTAATAGCGGCGTCGGCTTTGCGAAGTTCAAATCTACCTATATACGGGCTTCGCACTTACAGATCGTTATTTAAATGCAATCAAAAGTATAATCTTAAATTTCTATTACCGACTCAAACGTAATTTATAAATTTTTCAATCGGTCCTCGTGATACAACCAAGTTATGTTCCGTATATCGTAAGCCCGTTACTGGTTGTAGAGTACCTTAGGAATAAAATCTATTTAAAGCTTACATTCGATACTCCGATACACAGGGTGGATTTAAAATGTGTACACAAACTTTGCCCATATTTCCAAATGGTCAAATCTGTGAAAACTATATCATTTCGAAAAATATATTTTTAACCACATTTAATGTGCACATTGTAGATGCGCTCTGTGTAATAAGTTATTTGAAAACATCAATAGATTTTTTCCAACATTTGAGATGGTTTTATGATAAAATGGTTGAAAACTTCTAATAGTTAACTTACTCGAAAATCTTAGGCAAAATTAATTTGACCGTCTCGCATCCTTTCATTGGAGATGCCCTTATAAAGGTTTCCATAAGTCCTACCACCATAACGATACCCTCCGTTCTCATATCGCTAAGGATTGAATTACATACAGTAACTATTTGTCTGCCCTGTGTTTCCATAACAACATCAGGGGATAAGAGAACATGGGCAAGAGTGACCAACAAACACCATCTGAGATTTTCCGAATTATATTCTAGACAATAGAAAAAAAAATCGTTAGAATGTTTTAAGCAATGAGCAAGTAGACCTTACCTATTAAAGTCGGCATATTGTTAAACAGCTGCACTAATTCATTGGTCATCGTGGTGGAATTTTCTAACACGGTTAACCACAATTCCAAGCAGTCTTCGAGTAGGTATACTATGGCACTTTGGGTGGTATCCGTTCCCAATTGGATAACGGGCAAAAGGAAAGGGTTTAATTCGGCGCTGACCTTACCCAGTGCTTTGACTAATTGCACTAGCGTAGCTACAATTGCGCACCTGAGCATATTGTGTTCCTCAGATTCGCGCCACAGCAATGGTAAATAATGGATGAGACCATCAGTGTGCGGAGAAACAGTTTGACCGACACGTTCAACAAGTAACGTCATTACATTCAGTACGTGCATCTAAAATTTCGATAGTAAATAAAATCATGTTACAATAATACAATTGTAAATAATACCTTAGTTTCGCCTTCTTGAGCCTCGTGCAGCAACGTGAACAGTAAATTAAAAAGTGAGTCCAAATAAGGTTTAAATTGATCCGAATTAAATTCGAAGTCATCAATTGCATGTCTTAAAGCCGTTGACGCTGTCAACCGTACGGCCATATCCTCTTCAGGGTTCAACAAGTTGGCCACGCAAGAATACAAGGCCGGGCGCAGTTCTGGTGATAATTTAATGCCTGTCCAGCTACCAATCAGCCAAGATACTCTCCTCCTAATTACCCTATAGTTATTGTGTTTAATTTTTAATTCTTGCGTTAACGTGTTTGTAAACCATTGATCAAAATCAACCTAAAATCAAATTTCGTTACAGTTCATTGTGATAGGTTGAAGTGACTAGTAACATACCTCATCATACATATCAAAGGCAGCCAAACCGACGGCATTATACACAGCATCCTTCCTCAGGATTCCCTGCAAATCCTCAGGTGAAACAATTACATGTGTTTCACGTATCATTTCCAGTAAGACAGGAGCCAGTGTGTCTCGAAATTCGTGGAATAAGGTCACAAAAACGGTTTCCATACTCGGCTGCAATAAAAAAAAATATATATATATATATTAATATAATTAGATTTTCTGCAAATACTTTTCATTAATTTCATGCGGAAAAAGTATTACATCTTTTTTTAATTGAAGCATGCAAAATATTTAATAATTGAATAGATTAACTTACTCTTAAACTATATTTCCAGCATTCCCCTCCTTCGTCGTTGGCAAAGGTCTCAGGATCCGCGTCCCAAAGTTCCAAATCCTCCTGAGTTAAAATAAAGTAATGGGAAACCAGCTTTTTGCACATTACAGTCAGCGTGTTGGGTTGGAAGAAGTCACTCTTGATTTGGTACGCTTTCAAAGTATCCTGTTCCTTCGTCATCTCTAGAATTTTAGCTGGTCTGTATTGCGGACACAGCAAGATCCCTTTGATCAAATTGAAACATTGAATAGTAAGTCGTTCGAATATGAACTCGGTTCCTTCGGATGTGAAGATGTAAGAGAAGGTAAAGTCTAACGTGGGTTGAATAAATTCTACAAAACTGAGCGGATGCACGTCCAGCACAGAAAGAAGTATTTTAGTGAGGTGGATAATTAACTTTTCGCATGTCTCAACTAAATAAGCTGCTTTCGATGATAACTGCTTTCCTAAAAAATACAGGACATTAAGTAAGTATTACGGAAACGATTTTGGAATATTTGCTATACTTACTGCACATGAGACAAGCGCGCGCCCTATCGAAAACAACTTTCATGAAAGACATACAATTCTGGTTTAAGTGTGGTTTGTAGAATCCATGGACGGTTAACTTCCTTAATATCCTCAATGTTAGTAACGCCTTTTCTAGATTAGAATTAATTGTATCCACGGACGCGTTTTGCATAACGCTATTGATAAAGCACTCGGTGAAGTTATTCCATAAGTTCAAAATAAAAGAGTAAATATTCGAGGTAAATTCTTGAAACAATCTTCGATCACCTAAAATATATTATAAAAAAATGGTTTAATAATTCATAATCAATTATAACGATATTTAAATTAAACAATTATGCAACTACATAAATAATTACATGCTATTGATTCCATACTAAATATCTATTAGATAATGAAATTATCTATAAGATAATGAAAGTTACTGAGTATTATATAAGTAATCTGTAACATTAATGTATCTTAAACAAAATCAATATCTATGCACTCCTACAATATGTGATCAAATAAATGATTAAGTTTTAATTTGCTACTTTTTCAATTATTATTATTATATACAAATAATAGCAACTGTTTGTTTAACTTTTAATTAAATAATCAACTATTAAAATATATTGGCAAATTTAAGTTTTCTAACCTGGTAGCCTTTTTGAAGAAATAGCCTTAACAACATGATGCAATGTGAGTAAAGATCTATGTTGAACAATAGGGTCGGAACTTTCAACAGCCTGAAGGAGCATAGGAAAGAGCTCAGGCCAATCACGGGGGCAGTCCATTCTAGCAACTTTAGAAACAAGCACAGCCAATTGTATAGCAATCTGATTGACAGGCTCTTGGTAATTAGAACCCAATGCTTGCCGTATTGTCCTCTTCTCATCTTCACTTATGGCACTGAAAAGTTATATAAGTTAAAAACCAAAAACTTCACAACATATTGAATCACTTACTTAGGTGCACTTTTCCTCCAGTACCTATCCACTCCAATTTTGAGGTACAATACAGCTATCCATCGGACATTCAAGTCAATTGAGTGGTTCGATAATATATTCTGTAAATTCCACGATAAATTATCCTGTTTTTGAGGTTGTAGGGTTAACTTACATAAAGCATTGAATAAAATCCAGGTTGGATTTCCCATTCTCTAAGTTTGGCTTCTGCAGGTTTCAGTATATCTGCATTTTGGCTGGAAGCCCTTTGGAGGACTTCCAGTACCATTGATTGTGTGGAAACTGGGTCCATAGCAGTCTCTAAAATAAGAGGAGATTTGTGCTTGATGCTTAAAGAGTTTCAATGTAGGACTTACCAAGCGTTTCCACGAAAACTAAGAGGAAAGTCTATTAAAAAAATTAAATAATATTGACATGTGGGTTTGGTTCACTTGACAAACAAAACTGAGGTTATGTTGTGGACGACGACGGAAAACCAAGCAGCATTCTACGATCGTCCGTTTGGTAGGTAAAATTTATCAACTTTGTGAGATATCGAGTCGGAGTTGCACACAAAGTAAGTTATTATCTGCTTGGTCACTTGGAAACGCTCCGTTCCGAAACTCTGTATGCACTGACATCTCCTACCCAGGACGCATTTAAATATATACGAATTTGCAGCAAGTAAATAGTAATCATGAGTAAAAGCAAAACGAAATATGTTTACAACCCTAAACTGTTTACGATTACGGAACCATTAAATATCCAGGAACATTTTAAAGAATTCTCGGATTTGGTTGTAAACGATTTAAAGGAATTCGAGGAGTATCAGGACATCAAAGGCCCTTCCACAGCCAGACTAATTCAAATCTGCAAGTAATGTATTTATTTGTACTATCCAAAAAAATGAAAAAAAATATCACTAAATCAATAAAATTAAGGTAATAAAATTTTCAGCCCTGAAACATTGACGATAGATAATGAAATACCTGTAGAAAGTAATAAGGTAAACATGAATATGGCAGCAACATTTCCCATGTCTTACAACAGTGATTACACCGATTTGCAAATCCTCAAGAGCAAGCAGAAATTTGAAAATAAAACTGTTGATTTACAACCTTTTCCCTATTACGAAAAGGTAAAAATATTGATTTAGTATTAGATAGAATAATAATTGAATTAATAATTTATTTTTAGGAGCTAATGCACAACGAAACTTTAGATTTAAAACCTTATGAAGAGGTGTTATTAACAGTGAAAGTTTATAAATCTCTGAAAATCAAGAACGTCAAAGCTTGTCAATATGAAATTGCAATACTTTCCTGTCACAGTCTACTTGATTTAAAGAATAAAATGCTTTGCAATAGCGATGTTGGTTTTTGCAAGGAAATTCAACATCCAGATGAAACCATTCCAGGCAACGTTAAAGTATACAAAGTAATTTCATTTTAATTTCAGTATTACATATTTTTTTGTTTATTTTAGGAAGAATATCCATCGGGTTTTCTGTTTATCGAAAATTGCTTTTACAATATCACTGATCATTCGAACGCCATCGATTACTCAGAAATAATCCGCGATTGGGCAAGTAAATGTAATATGGTTCAATTTACGACTGCCGTTTTGGAAGAGGTACGTTTATAAATAAATTAAAACGTTTCATTTTTTTATTTTTTGTATTTCAGACAATTATTAAAGATCTGAAGATTATTTTGGGTGCGCCGTACCTATTTCAGCATCAGGGAAATTGCGAACACGTTTTCGTGTTTTCCGATGCGCGGCTTATCAACGGAAAGGATCCGCTTTCTTCGAGCGTTTTTCCATATATTTTATCGGAAAACAAGAAGTACACAAAGTTGTGTTTCATTTGTCAGAAGATTGCTGCAAAATTCGTTGTTACCAATTGTGATAGGCTTCCGCACAAATATAACTTGTTCTGCAAAAATTGTCTTATGTCCTATAATTATTTAAATGGTGAAAAGATTGGTAAATTCAAGTTATACCCGTATTATAATCAATCGCTATTGTACGAACATGCTTTTACAGACTGAATAAATAAATCAATTTAATACTTAATATTTATTGGATTATAAACGTTTACATGATCTATGCTCCGCATTGCATATATTACAAAACATTAAATTACATAATATTCAACACTTTATAATTCGATTATTGTAAAGTAAAATAACAAAGTGTGCTTAAAATATTGAATGCTTAAAAATAACTTTTATATAAAAATATAATTAATGTAGTTGGTGAAAAACAACATAAAGTTTCAGGTCATGGAATGACAGTTTTGTTCTAATAATAATACATCAAAATGATCAATTTTTGAATACAAATTTCATGTTTTATGTAAGATATATGAAACTTGCGTTGGGGTTCAAAATAACAGAAGTATTTGATTTTATTTGTTAGATAAAAAATATTTTTATTAAATATTTACTCATTGAAATAAATTATTTGTATAATTAATCTATTCAAATTGAAAACAAAGTAATATATTTGCTTGCATAGAATAGTATATATATACATGTCAAAAATAATTTATGTACTAGCATTGTTAAATGTATTTGGAAGCGGAACATAAAAATATAAAGATGAGAATAGAAGGAAATAATAGGAATAAAATGAAAGCAAAGCAAATAACAAAGCTACACGGATGGCGGTAGTTGAAAATGTAAATAATTTTAATATGAAAATTAAGATTTATTAAATAATTTTTTAAATTTACATGTAAGGTTGAACTAATTCTAGTGAATCTATTGTAAATACAGTTGTATATTGTACAAAACTTGTTATGTAACTAAATTTTTTTGTAACAATTATTTTAATGACAAAGATAATTTGCGTAAGTAAATAATTTGCCAAACTGTATGATACTTGTGAAGTTACTTGGAAAGTAATTCTGTAAACCACCTTTATATTTGAATTTATTGAAAAATAAATAATAGCAGAAGAAAGATATATCTTCAAATTACATGGAATATATATGTTTGGTCATGTAAACATAATTAGATTTAGAAGTATTGTCTACAGGTCTAAATATATAGATAGCAGCAGCTAAAAAAAATGATAACGATGTCTTTATGATTCATAATACAGTGACCACATAAACTATTTAAAACATACATTCAAAACATATAAATTATAATACACCTTTGAATTATAATTTCAAAAGCGCTTACTATGTCAGAGACTTATTTAATTCATTTTCGAAAACATTATCTAGTCTCAGGTTTTGTACCTCAATAATAGTGTTAGAGAGTTTTACAACACAGAGGTAACACGAATCTAGCCAGGGTTACTGAGAAAAGAAGAATAAAAAGTGATATAATGCATGATTACTATAGGCAAAAGGCTGTACATATTAATACAATGTTTGCATATATAATGATTCCATGTACACATTATGAGATAATCACCAATTTGTTAATGTTGGAGATACTACCGATATGTAACAGGGCCCAGCTAATTGTAGAGGAATTTCCGGATAAAAGCTCATTATTGTAGGAAGTAGAAGAAGAGAGAAATATGCTTAATATATAGTTATATATATATATAAAAAAAAGTATTAATAAATATATAAAATTAGATTACAAGCAATTTAAAAAAAGTTTTTTTTATTTAATAAAATATAAACGTAATATTATAGAACTATAAATTAACGGAGACCCATTGAATCAGTTGCTTAGGGTGGACGTCTAGTCGCTGATGGTTGGATGTGCTGGCTTTTCTGATCACTTCTTTTACTATCTTGGCAGTAGCGGATTAAGCACTTGAGAGGCCACAGGTGCAATTAAATTTTGACGAAATTATCAAATTTCTGAATGACCGAATTAAGGTTGTCGTGGGCGCATTTTAAGATTTGAGGCCCCCTTGATTAAGGAGACCGCCTGTGCACTGTAGCTTGGTAACGATAAACAAATGAATTTCTTCGTTTGTGGAATTCCATGTTGAAATTAATGATGAGCCTTAATATCTTCGATTTTTACTTCTGAATTACATCTATTGTCGAGTTACATACATACATTATATATAGTACCTTATTGTCTATGGCAGTGATTCTCAACCACTGTGCCGTAAATTCTTAAAGTGTTAAATTTTAGAAATGTATATAGTAAACAATATAATGTACAGTGTATTATAGGTAAGTAAACAACTTGTAAAATTATCCGCGACAAGAAAAAAGGTTGAGAATCACTGGTCTATGGATATCTCAGACTTCTTAAAAAATCGGTTTTCTAATCTCAAGATTTCTACAAAACCGGTTTTCGAATTTTCACAAAAAAAAAATATAAAAAAGGATTTTTACAACTTAATAATAATAAAATAATATTTATTGAAACAGAAAATTACAAAATAGAAAACTCAATGCAATAATACAAATATCATAAATCATACAGACTTTTACAACTATTTTACAAGTTTCTATTGCTCACACGGATTTATTGTGCATACAAAATTTCCAAAAATAGAAAAAACTCTCACTTGTCACCAAGCTGGGTTTAATCGTGTTTAGATTATTAAATAATGAACTAAATCATTCGATCTTCTCTTTGTACTATAATACTAAAAGTTCCTTTTTTAGTAGGTTGGGGCAGAAAAAAGTCATATCTTCAGATTCTTGAAGATATTTATCAATTGATTTTTTAAAAGCAAGCTATGATTCGTTTTTCCATCTTCGCAGCTTTTTTCATCATTGTAGTCATTTTCTATTTAATAATTTGGTTACAATCTTGGTAATAAAACTTAACGATCTCACTTTTTAAAGGTAGTGAAAGAAAGTCTTTGTCGAAACTTTCTGTGGATTTTACAAAATAACTAAAAACCTTACTAGACTAAAATCTTAGTACTAAATTCAGTTACAATTTTTGTCAAATGTGTTAACATTTTTATATTTTTAATTAAATAATTAAAATAATTCATTCATTTTTATATTTTATGTCTATACAAAACCGGTATTTTAGATGGTAAAACCCGGTTTTCGAATTACATAAATTTCCCCAAAAAAACGGTTTTAAAAACCGACAAACCCTAGACATCAGGAATTGGAATAGGTTATATGTGGGACACTTGAATTTTGGATTTCCCTTTAAAATCTTCTTATATTTTAAAAATAGGTCGTTCATAAAGTTACGATCTACTTCAAAAGTGAGTGACAGAATGAGAGTTTTATTTTTTTAAATACATAATTAGAAAATGCTATTTAAATATTATGTTGCAACACTGTGCTTTACAAGAGATGATGTTTAATAAATCGCCGATTACTTAGCATTATTGTGTGACTCCCATGCACTAATAAGGAGACTTAAGCGTGAATCACTAAGTATCGTGAGATAGCGCATTTTGTGAGAATGAAATACTATGTATACAAATATTTACATTGATTAATTAATTAATATTAAATATTACGTGATTCCATTAACAAATTATATATTAATCAGTGCTTAATTTATAGAATAATTAATGAGTTAAATTAGTTTTAAGCATTTTGGAATCTAAAAACATCAATTTTATGATTAAAATTTAATTATTGTAAATATATATGTAATAAATTATGTTTATTATTACTAATTAAATATATTTAATGAAAAAGGGAATCAGTTACTTTACATATGTAACAATTCACATTATTATAATTAAAAATATTCATATTAATTATAAATAATGTTCGAACTATGTAGTATATAAATCAATAATTATAATTAACACTAATTAACTATTATTTAAGTTGGATTGGAAAGAATTATTAAAATATTTCATGTGATTAAAATTGAAATATTTTGGCTGAAGGTTTTTTTTTGGTTGTCTTCTATAAACAATGTTAATTAACTATATAGACTAGGTTATGTAAATATTGTATTAATTAGGTCAGGATTACATAAGCTTGCAAATAATTTCAGTATAAAATAAAAAAATGTAATATAAAATTGTAGGTAAATAAAAAAAGTAAATTTCACTTATTAACTAATTTATAAGATAATTATAACTTAATATTTGTGGTTTTACAAATAATATACAATATTTGTAAGTGAAGTTGTGAATCTTTCCAATGAGCTATACTTACAATTCAAAGACGGCTGTGCAGTACATCAACGCAATATAAATGCGAAAGAAAATGAGCACAGAAAATAAATCATCAATGTAAGTGAATTTTAAGGCAACCACTTGCATCGCGACCGTCGCAGGCGATGATGTAACCGTCCATTAAGTAACTCTCCGCGTTATATCTCGATGCAGGATGCATTTCGCGGATTCATTTTGTAATCCGAACAAGCTCCGTCTTAAGTGTTCTACGCGTTATGCTAATTGCAAAGAACAAGAATAAAGTGTATTAAAGCCATAACGCCAATTAGCCGAGGATGCATGTTGACAATCATTATATAATTTCCATTTAGAATTCCTCTTGGGCGCCTGTCGGCAGCGTCAAGGTGCTGCGTGCGTGAAGATGCCTCCGCGTAACGCAAATTCAATTGCTTAATATCGCGCATTATCTCATTGTCGTTAATCTTCGGAATTGTGCGGTGGCGCATATTTTTCTGAAACTGTCATTTCCAAGTTTAAATCCGAGCAAAAAAGAAACAGCTTCGAAAATAGTGCAAATGCATTTATTTGAAATGAATAAAAATGTCCTAAAATTCATTTTGATCTCAAAAAAATCTTCATTTTTATAAATTCGATATGTAATTTAACCCTTTAATTATAACTGTTTTCAATAGACGACGAAACGTTATGTAAAGGACTGTTACAAAATTAATGGCACAAGAAATATAAATGTTCAAATTATTCATAATTTTGATTTAAATTTTCTTTTTTCAATATGTTTATGATGATAATTACAAAGTTTTGAAATGTAATGTAATTCACAATATATAAAATTTTGTAATTATTATTTTTATCGCGAATAATTATATTCGCAGAAAAACCAATGCAAACCACACTTCAGACTTGAATCAAACTTCCGTGACACACCTAAATCATGATTTGATATGTACACTTAGGGTCTATATCGAAAGCCCATTGTACACATTTTCGATAGTCGGGATTTCGAACGT